CTTGCAGGATGCAGCATGCATGGAGATGCAGGAGGATGTAGGTTGCAAGCTTCAACGTGCGTCCGAATCGTCACCTGTCACCTGTCATTGTCGCATGTCACATTTCATTCAGTCCCTTCGTGCCCCGCCCCTTCCCCCCTCCACCCCCCCCCCTCCACCCTCCACCCTGGCGGTTGGCGGTTGGTTGGCGGGTGGAAGGAGGGCGGAGGTCGGGTGCCAGAGCGATTGATACAACCAGGACCGGAGGAGCGGGAGGTTATGCTCTAGGCTGCTCAAAGCCGCGCCGTCCATACTTGATCACATCACGGCCATTGCGGATTGGATTGCGGCCGACTCCCCCTATGCCTGTGCCCCATGCCGCATGCCCCGTGCCTCCTGCCCTATCCGCTGCCATCGCCACTCGAGCGTCGAGCTTGTTTGTTTCAGCAGCTGAGCAGCTGCGCAGCCACAACAGCTGACTCGGCAATTCAGCGAGTCGCGGCGGCCATGGCCGGTGCCGCCGGCGGCTGCGGCTGCGGCGCCAAGGACTGCAGCGGCTGGTGCTCTGCCCCCAGCACCGCTGCGCCGCCCAGCAGCGGCGAGGACGACGTGATGCCGTTCACGCCGCCGCTGGTCGCCGAGGACGTCGTTCCGCTCACGCCGCCGATGGAGGACGAGGACGCCATTCCGTTTACGCCGCCCATGGCCATGGAGTTGGAGCCCGCGGCTGCCCCTCGCACGCCGCTCATGAGCGCCGAGGAGGATGAGGAGGAGCGGCGCGCCATCGTGGCGGCGGCTACGACCCCGCTCAACGACCTGGGCGAGTACGAAGGGTTTGGCGATGGCGTCGACTCCGAGGACCTGGATTATTACGATGACCAGGACTGGGAGTTCGCGGTGGATCGGACCGAACGAACGGGGTGGATATGGAAAGGAGGGGGTTGCGAAATCTGCTGCATGCAGCTGGTTTCGGCCCCGCCGCCAAGCCCACTCCTCGATGCATCGATGCACGGGCGCCTCCCGGCGCTGGGGGGGCGCCGCGAAAATTAGTTGCGTGAGCCGATTCCCCCCCCCCCCCTTGGCTATCGCCCCCTTTCGCCCGGCCCGAGCCGAGGTGGAGGCGCTGGATGAGATGCATCGCCGCGAGGAGGCGCAGGCCGCAGCGCTTCGCGCGGCAAAGGCAGCGTCGTTTCGCCGTGCTGTGGACCAAGACAAGCTGGACCGCAAGCGCATCAGGGAGGAAGAGGAGGAGAAGGCGGCCATGGACGAGTTGATGGGGCTGCCAGTGCCGTGGTGGTGGGCCCCGCCCTCCCCGCGGACGCCAGACGGCGGCAGCGACTGCGACGGCCTCGACTCGATCGTGCACGCGGGCGCGCAGTTCGAGCTCACGGAGGAGCAGCTGGCTTTCATTGACAGGCTCGATGAGCTGCATCGCCGCGAGGAGCGCAGGGAGCAGGCCGCGAAGCGGCTGCGGCGCATGCTCGACCTGCACCAGATGAACCAGCAGTGGTGCGAGGCTGAGCACCACCACGCGATGCAGGCGATGCAGGCCGCGCAGGCCGACTCGGTCCAGTAGGTGCAGTGTTGTGTGCTGTGGCATTGGCTATTTTGAATCGGGCAGAAGGCCCTCGCGATCTAGTGATTTTCGCAAATTTACCAACCCGGTGGACCAACCCTGCTGCGCTGCCAGCTGACAGCTGTTACTTTTTCCGTCTGCTGGCTGCTTGTTACACGTTGCACGTTGCATGTGGCTATTGTGCCGCGTGCCCATGGCATATGTGCCTGTCTGCTTGTGGCGCGTGGCTTGTGCAGCCACCCAGCCACTGGAACCCTGGAACCCTTCTTTCGGATGCTGCAGAGTTGAGAACAGTTCCCCTCGCGAGCCTCTCCATGGAGGCCCTGGGGCCACTCCTTTGCAGGGAGCCACGCTTTCGAGCTTTCGAGCTGTCGTGTTTCCGTGTGCGTGCACAGTGTGTACAGTGATATGTAGTGTGTAATTTAGGAATCGAATCTAGGATGTAGGTTTCGTCGGTGTCGAACGATCGGTTCGGAGCTGTGAAATATTCGGTCCGCATATCGTCATAATCAAGATCGCCATTCCCCCCGTCATCGGTCAGCGTCGTCATGTCGGCATCGCCATCATCGTCGCCATCGAATCGACACCAGACATCGCCATCGTGGTTGCATCGGTCCATGTATTAGAGGATGAGGGATACTTGGATACTCGCGCCCTGCGGCATTCCTTCCCGCGGCGTCGCGCCGATTGGCCGATCATGGTCGAGAGACCTTGAGTTCCTGAGCCGCGACGGGTGTCTGATCCCGTATCCGGTATCCGTATCCCTCATCCTTTTGTATCCACTGCCACCACCATATCCCGACGTACCGCTGTTGTATTGTATCGTATCGTTGCGTGCTTCTTTCGTCACTTCTCCCCTCTTTCCCCTTTGCCGCTTTGCCACTGTCCTCTCTCTCTCTCTCTCTCTCTCTCTCTCTCTCTCTCTCTCTCTCACGCAGTCTCCCTCCCCGACCATTCCCCCTCGTCGCTTCGCAACTCTTCGCCGCTCACCGCGCTCGCCCGCTCTCTCCCGCTCCCTCCCCCCACCCACTCTCTCCTCTCTACTCTCTACTCCCCGCCTCACCGCAGCGCAGAGTGCGGTTGACGAGATGGCCCGCGCTTGAGCTGTCGGGTGCGTCGCATCTGCATCGGCCCGAGTCTTTGGCGACATTCTCTGTCGCGTGTCGTACCCCGCAACTCAGATTGCAACCCGCAGCCCGCAACCCCCTGCACCCTGCGGCGGCGCTACTCTGCGCAGTGGCCGATGCGACTGCGGACCCTTGACGGTCCCCTGACGGGCCCTCCGAAACCAGACACGGATCACATACTTGAGATTGAGGCCGTTGCTTCCGTGAATCCATGGGCCTTTGGGACCTCGGTACCATGGGCCCATTCGCTTCCGCAGTCGTCCGTGCACTGTGCGCTGCCATTCTTCGCGGTTCGCTGTCAGTGATGCTGCACGGCGCCCTAGCGCCATCTCGTGGCACCCCGTCCCTGGCGGGCAGCGGCAGCGGCGGCAGCGCAGTCGGGAGCGCCTCCAGCGCCAACGGCGGCGCCGCCGCGGGACAGGGGCAGGGTCAACAGCGTCGGCCTGACGGACTGGGAATGGGCGACGGGCGACAACGGACGACGACTAAGAACTATCGACGATCGACTGACTAACGACTGACTAACGACTAGTGACTAAAGACTAAGACTGACGACTGACGCCCCACGACGGCGACGACGTTGGTTGGCGGCGGCGGCGACAACGCTTGCCAGGGCCTAGGGTCGCGGCCAGGGCCAGGGGGGATTGGGCCAGGGGCGGGGGCCCTGGGGGCCCTTTGCTTGATGCTTCGATGCGTCGTGGGGTCTGAGGGTGCTATGGGGTCTGAAGTCTGAGCTCTGGGGTCTGGGGGTGCTATCTTCCTAATCATGTATCATTAAATCCCTAATCCTTAATCGTCCCAGCACCCCCGCCAGCCTTGAGAGCCCGAGAGCCCTTCCTTCCCTCCCCCCTCCCTCCTCTCTGCTATTATTATCTTCCCCTCCTTTCCCCTTTCTTCCTCCTTCCTGGCCCCCCCCCCTCCTCTGCGGCGGATGGGAGGGGGGGGGCAGGGGGGCGCGGGGGGGCGCGGAGGAGGGGGGGGAGGAGGAGGAGGAGGGGGAGGACGTGGAGGGTGGAGAAGGAGGAGAATGAAGAGGAGGAGGAGTAAGCCCTTTTGTGCGTGCCCCATGAGGACCCCTCGACGTCCTCCGCCGCGCGCACAACGCACCTGGCTTCGACGCGACCACGGTGCCCGCAGACACGATCGCGTCGATGAAGCAGATGATCGCTGTCGTGAATCAGCGTCGCCAATCGCTGGGGCCACCTGTGCCGACGGCCGCTTACCCAGAGCCCAGTGAAGATTGCACTAGCAACGCGTGCCTCAGGTCCTTCCGCTCCCGCAACCCGCTGATCAACCACCCTTGCCCTTACTTGGAACCGGCCCGCGACCGCTCCAGGGAGTGTCTGCCGTGTCGCAATGGCCAAGGCTGGGGCATGCGAGGCATCGCCAAGACAACGATCGCGGCGAAGATGCGGGCGCCCGAAGGATCGGACGAGTTCTTCAAGGCTTCGTACATGCTCGTGATCTATGGGTGGGAGGAGATGCAGAACGACGCCACGGCTGACCAAGGCAGCCCCGCCCCCCCTGCTCCTCCCCTTTTTTCCACACCTAGGCTCTGGAAGGATTCTTATTTCATGTATAAACGTAAAGTGCCTGGCAAAAAACGCCCCTGGCGGTTCCCCCGGCATCCGCCCCGCGGCTTCCCCAGTGACGCTCCCTTTGCTTAGCGTTGCTTATCTCATCTTAGCTTAGCATATCTCATCTTAGCTTAGCTTAGCTTCATCGTAGCTGTAGCTCAGGTTTATCTTAGTTCTTAGCTTGGCGTGCCTTCATCTGATCTTCGCTGATCTTTAGTTAGCAACAGAGCATAGCAGAGCATATCATCGTGAAGCATAACATGGCGCAGCACAACATACCATCGCATCGCCCAGCATAACATAGCATACCGCAGCATATCATATCGTATCATATCATAGCGCAGCACACCACATCACAGCATAGCACAGCGCAACATATCACATCATATCGTAGCAGAGTATAGTATACCAGTCATAACAACAACAACGCAGCGCGGGGCATAACAGAGCTAGCAGCTAGCATACCATAGCTTAGCATAGCACATCGCATCATGACATAACACAGCTCAGCATACCATATCATACCATAGTCTAGCATAGCACAGCACAACGCATCATATCCATCATTGCATAGCATAGCATAGCATAGCGCAGCATAGCATGTCATATAATAGCACAGCATAGCACATAGCAAGTAATGCTGCTTTCCTAATTCCTAGGGGCTCCAACTTCTAGGTCGGGTCGCACTGAGGTAATTTTTCTCACCGGGCTGACCTTTACCTTTACACTCCGCCCCCGCAGGCTACGTTCGCCGCTGGGGGGAGGAGCTGAGAGGCATGATGAACACGTTCGTTGTCGCGGTGAAGTCCGTGAGCCGCAAAAGTGAACTCGTGTGCGGCGTCTTCTGGCCCAAGCAGGTCTACGAGCAACGCGAGGGGCACGCTCTTCCAGCGTCATTGGTGACGTCCCACATTCATAACGGCAAAGAGATGAAGGGAGTCTTCAGGAACGAGGACGAGTTCGGGTGCCCGCCTGGATGTTACCGCGTGTCCGAAGAGTCGTTGGAGAAGGTGGAGCAACACACTATGGTCGAGAACGACCAGACAGCTGCTCGTGGGCGGACACAAGTCAACGAGACGTACAGGGGCCTCGCGCAGGTGGCAGCTCTCGGAGTTAGTGCGCAGCAGAATCCAGATGGCGGTGCTTGCGCGATCACAGTGACTGGCGGCTCATTCTCAGACGACCTGGACATGCTTTTCACGGATGTCGGGCCCCACGGTCGCCGTTCGAGTGGTGGCGGCCGCGGTGGCGCTGGCAACCGCGGCGGCGGGGCTGGTCGCAGCGCGGGCAGAGGGCGCGGCGGCGGCTGTGGCGGCGCTGGTGGCGGCGACCGTGGCGGCGCGACTGCCGCGGCCAACTTGCTGGCCCTCGCGGGCCAAACGCTGCTGAAGGCCACCCAGACCGTGTCAATGCTGACAGACGGGAATCTGAACGAGGGCGTGAACTCCAAGCGGATCCAGAAGATGATCGCCGAAGTCGAGAGTCGCATGGTCGGTAAATACACCGCTGCATTTGCTGGCGACCTGGTCCTGCCCGGCGCAGGCGGCGCAGCAGGCGCGCCTTGGGCAAGGGCCAAGGGGTGGCCGGGGGAGGGGGGGCTGGGAAGGAGGGGGGGTGGGGGGGGCGAAGGGCGGAGGGGGGATAATATGGATGATGGGATCTGGATGATGATGGGGCGATGGATGATTGGATGATGCAAGTCGGAGGTCAGAGGCTACATGTCAATTGTCAATATGTCAATGTTATGCTACTAGGTTACTAAGGTCTGACTGTCTGACTCAAGTGAGAGCATCGAGCATCGAGCACTGAGTTCTGACTGCGAAAAGAGAGGCCGAGAGAGAGAGAGAGAGAGAGAAAAAGAAAGAGAGAGAGAGAGAGAGAGAGTGCGAGAGAGAGGGGGAGAGAGACACAAACGACAGAGAGAGTGAGCGAGAGAGATAAGGAAGAGAGAGAGAGAGAGAGAGAGAGAGATATATATATATAGAGAGAACTAGACCAAGAATTTGTTTCGACGGAGCGGGCCCGCGATACATGTATATATATTATGATATGTATATAAATATAGATATCTAGAAAGAGAGAGAGAGAGAGAGAGAGAGAGAGAGAGAGAGAGAAAGAGAGAGAGAGAGAGAGAGAGAGAGAGAGAGAGAGAGAGAGAGAGAGCGAGAGAGCTGAGAGCGGGCAGCCAGCCTCCGCAGGCGCTGCGGGCGGCGTGGAGACATCACAGGGCATGGAACTCGCGGAACAGCTGCGGACCCATGTCTCGTCTTTCCCTGCGTCTCTGCCTCTCTTGCTTCTTCCTCCCCCCCTGCCTTTCCCGCGTTCTTACTGCTATCTTACTACCTTCCTGCCTCCACGTCCTACGCCCTGCGTCCCTGCGTCCTACGTCATTATCCTTCTCCTCTTCGCCTCCCTCTCATGCTCCGCCCCCCCCGCCCTGCCCCCCCGACTGCTGCGTTTCTTTGCCATGCGCGCCCAAGAGCCCCGCCGCGACAAGCGCATCAGCCCGCGCATCGCGGTGGGGCACGAGGCCGCGCCATATTGTGAGCTTGCGGCCGAGCCACGCCACTGGGGATATTGACTGGGGGAGTGCCTTCGGGCCGGTTTCGGGGGGCTGGTCGGTTCCGTCCGCCCCCCCCTTAGCCCGCCAGAATCCCTCCTTTCTTACAGCCAATCGAGGGGGGCAGGCGAGGCGTGATCGTGTGCCTGCTCCCCCAGTCCCGTGGGCGCACAGTTTCCCGCACTGTCTGGTCCTTCACACACACCCCGCTTCCTTCCTGAGGTCGCGCCTTCCCTACCGACTTTGTTCCTTTCGACATCCTCCCTACGTTGCATGCTACCCTCCTACCTTCCTTTTTTATTTCCTTTCCCTACCTCCCTACCTCATACTTCCTCCGCCTCCCCCCATTTCCGCACCCCTGAGGACGACGCTCGATACGCTGACTTCGTGGAAGACGTTCAAGCTCACGACTGAGAAGCCAGCTGGCCAGTACGACCAGGCGGCTGCGCATGCTGCCTTGTGCGCACTTGTCGCATCGGGCGCGAAGGTCCCCGATGCCACGTGCTTCTCCACTTGGAGGCGGGGCGCTGGACTTGCAGCGGATCAGGCTGACTGGGCGACCTTCGCTGGCTATATGACATTCCAGGCTGCGCAATGGCACGCCACGCTGCACCGCCCACCGATCACTGCTGGCGAGGGCGAACCTAGCGTCTCGCGGGTCATCATGGAGACGCTCGTGGTCATCTTCAGGCAGCCAGCTAACGTCGGCGTGGGCGCGCTCACTGGCATGCTTCAGAGCATCGGTGGCTCCGCCACTGGACCGCCGCCACTGCTGACGGCGGCCGGCTGCGAAGCGTTCGCCACGGAAGTGGAGCGGCTATGCCGGCTGGTATTCATCGCCGCGGTTCCCGACGCGGAGGTCGACAAGGTTGTAGGCGACAAGGAGGCGATGCTTGACGTTCACGGCGAACATCCTAGTCCTTTCCTGAAAGCTTTGATGTTCTTGCCCACTGGCATTGCAGTGCTCCACGCCGTGTCCACAGAAGGCGCGCGGATCAAATCCAAGGAAGTGCTTGCAGGGCAGCTCAATGACATCTGCGACATTATTGCTTCAATGCAGTCGCCACTTCAGCTCGAGAATGAGGGTGGCGCGGCTGGCGTCGGGTCAGTGGCCTTGCCGAAGGAGACAGCTGTTGCCGTGGAGACGGCCATGGGCAAGTACGATCAGCTGATGAGCACGATGACCGACAGGTTCAAGGAGCAACGCAAGCACGATCTGGACCAGGTTTGGGCCCTCCTTCACTCCCTCACTAGCGAGAAGAAATAGGAGGAGGAGGAGGAGGAGGAGGAGGAGGTGAGGCGGTGGAGACGGCGGAGGACGGAGGGCGGAGGAGGGGAAGGGAGAAGGGAGAAGGGAGACGGAAGGATGATAACAGCAGGATGCAGGAGGCAAGACCGCGCCGCCAGGTCTCAGCCAAGCTCGACGCGATCGGGGCGGACTTCGAGACCGCCACGAAGGAGCGCAACGTGGCCTTGCTCAACCGGGCGCTGGTCGACGTGTCCAGTGTGGCTTCTCGCGCAGAGCTTGACCGCCCACTCCAGCTTCTCAGAGCCGTCGCCGAGGCGGAGGGACCTCGCTGCAACCACCTCGCCCCTGATCGAGCATCGCGCGTGAGTTCCGCGCACTCACGGACAGCGGAGGCCGCGCACGCATGGGCGCCAGGGCTCGCCATGCTCATGAGCGACAACCATGACAACCTCAAATCGAGTGAGCTGCAGCAGTTCTATGATCAAGTCGTCATGTCCAACGAGAACTGCCGCGTGCCATTGGAGACGGCCCTCGGCGGGAACATCGCCAACTGGCCACCCGCGGTGCTCAAGGCGAGGCTACTGCTGCAGTGTGCCTGCAGCGCAGCCTTGACTACCAGCCCATTTGGAGTTCTTGCTGCTGCCTCGCGCATGGAGGCGGGCACTGGCGACCTGGCCAAGGAGTGCGAGGCGGCCGCCACGAACCTGAGCGACGACGAGGAGTGGTCGCCACGAGTTCTCGCGCCCCTGGACGCGTTGAGCTGCATCGCATCCACCATTTGCCGCTTCCGCCCTGCATTCTCACCTGGTTGGAAACCGAGCACACAGGACCCAGCGAACCCCGCGGCGTTCCAGAAGCATTCAGGCGACCACGTGTTACTTGCAATCAAGATGTGTTGGTTTTGCAAGGAGAGGCGTGCTGCGCAATCTCTGGTGGACGCTACTGCCCTCAATGAGGACGGCGAACCTGGAAGCGCGCTGTACCCCGCGTTCTGGCAGCACGTCGACGGCGACGAGGGTGGCGCGAGGGCCCGGCAGGACCTCCTCGACGACGGCGACGAAGACCCCCGCCTCATGCTCTGGAGGGCGGAGGAGGATGAGGAGGAGGATGAGGAGGGAGGAGGAGGAAGGGGAGAGCGAAGTTGCCCTGGACCCTGGACTCCCTGGACTGGACCCTGGACCCTGGGCCCTGGACTGATTGATCGACGATCGACGATCGATCGGCGATCGATCATCCGATCGACGATCCATCAGTCCAGGAGTCCAGGGTCGATCGATCATTTCTCATTTCCCAGCTAGCTCCTGTCGATGTGCGTGTGGGGGGTCGGTGTGGGGTGTGGGGTGTGGGGTGTGGGTATGGTATGGTGTATGGTCAATGTCAGCGTGTCAGTGGTCAGTGGTCACGTGATGTGATGTGTGAGGTGTGATGTGATGTGATTCGTGATGTGATATGACGATGTGTGGTGTGTGACGTGTGCGGAGTGTGTGCTGAGCTGGTCTTTCTTGACCCCGCTGAAGGAGGCGCTGTTGGCGCACCGCGCAAAGTTGGGGACGGCGTTCGCCAACGCTCTCAACGCAGCGGTGTGCCTCCACAGGACTGCCCTCGCCGAGGTGAACGAAGTGGTGTCGTCATGGATTGCGGCAGGGTGCACTGTGACGCCTCAGGCCCGAGCGCTGGCCTCGGTTTGCACAGCGACGACGGATGCCATGTGCGCTACGTTGGTTGGCAGGGTCGAGGACTTGGCCCGCATGACGAAACAGCTCTTGGCGACGCTGCCCGACGACGACGCCTTCCACCTGGGCCCACTCCCGCTCAGCGACGCTCTCGACCAGATGAGCGAGGCGGGCTTAATCGTTCAGGAGAAGGATAGCGCCACGTACTTGGAGGTCGCCAGCGGCAAACCCGCCAAGACGTTGTGCAGGCCTTAGCGTTGCCGCGCTAGTGGCGGCTAGCCTCCTACCCCCTACCTCCTACATCCTACATGCTGCCACTTACCACTTACCCCCGCAGCCCCCTCCCCCTCCCCTCCTCCTGCTTCCACGCCCCCCTCCTCCCTCCTCCACCTCGACCTCGCCCTCGTAAACTCCTACGCCACCCCTCATGTGTCTCCTCCTCCCGCCCCCCCGGTCGCGCGGCATCGCCTGCGACCTGGCGCGGACATGGGGTGAAGGTGGACCGACGAAGCAGGGAAGTATAAATATATATATATGATGGGGAGGAGGTGGTCGGAGGTAGGGCCTTGGTAGGGCCAGGTAGGAGGTAGGAGGTAGGTAGGTCGGAGGTTAGAGGTTGGTGGGAGGTAGGCTGCCAGGTAGGACCAGGTAGGAGGTCGGATGTATGAGGATGCGGCATGAGGCATGGTGGCATGACCGAGTAGGAGGTAGGAGCCAGGTAGGACCAGAGGTTGGAACAGGAGGGATGGAGGGCGGCAGTGACCTAGGGCCTGGAAGGAGCAACGAGGAGACTGAGCAGGAGGAGGAGGAGGAATAGAGAAGGAGAGATGGGAAATGAGGATGAGGTCCTACGACGGAGAGGAGGATGCGAACGCGGGCGGTCCAGGAACGAGGCACGGGCGATGTCTTGAGTCTTGAGACGGAGGAGGACGCGGATGTGTGCCCTTGCCCCTTGCCTGAGCCCTGAGGTTCTTCGTGTGGAAGTTCTACAACGAGACGTGCATTCCTCTGCTCCAGCACGCGCTCGCAGTTCCTGGGCGCCACCAGCAGCAGCAGCCGAGTACTCCGTCGCACGCTTGGTGGTTCCAGGAGAAGGCCATCGTCCGCGCTGGCCGCCTCGCTGCTTCCATGGCCGTCATGCAGGCGATGTTCCGTGCGACTGGCTTCTCGCTCGGCGACCTTGCAAGCCACTTGCGCAGGGTGCTGGCGTCGCTTGAGGCCAAAGCGCACACGGTCGGCTCCGAGGCTATTCAGCTGAACCTGATGACCCCGCACCCCTGCGTGCTCGGAGCCGTCAATTCCTTGCTGGCGCAGGCGACGCAGCCCGCGAAGAAGCGCCGCAGTGGCGGCGGGCATGGGGCCTCAGCGGCGTCGCAGGCGAGGTGAGGGGCAAGTGCTACGCTGGCCTAGCGGTTGGAGGTTGGAGGTTGGAGGTTGGAAAAGTGAATAAGAGAGAGGATGGATGATCTAGCTGCAGCTGGGGCAGGAGGCAGGAGGCGGGCACGACACTAATTCGGACTGCAGTTTTTGCGCGGCGGATCATCATGCAGGGCACGCTGCACTGGACATTAGGCGCAGCGGCATTCGGGCCATCATGCGACATGTCCTTTTCTGCCCGGGCCCCTCGCTCTCACACGCTCGCTCAAGATGTTCTGGGACCTGTGACTCTGGGACCCTGGGCCGCCCGCTGTCCAGGGGCCAAAACCAATAATTACCTCGCGCCTCGCGCCTCGCGCTCCTCACCGAGGCTCGCTCCTCACTCCTCAGTACTCAGTCCTCTCTCCTCACTCCTCACTACTCACTGCCCAGGCCCCAGGCCGCCTGGCCCAGGCGCATGCCCTTGGCCCACGCAGTCGACATCCGTCACCATTTTTGTCTTAGGTCTTAGGAGCGGCCACTCGCCCCATCGACCGGCGCGCAGAGAATTGAGATCGGGGCAGATCTCTTCTCATGTAGTGTTTCGGGGCAACAGGCCACGCGTTGACGTCCATTCGTCCCAGTGGCGATCACGGAGCAGCGCTCGGCTTGGCACGGAGCTCCAAGGAGCGCGACACGACGCGGCAGTGCGCGTGTCAGAACATTTGCATTTGTATCAGTCTCCCGTCTCCAATCTCAAATCTGTCTCATTGCTGTATCATTGCTCCGCACCATGAGGAGGAGGACGGGGGATGAGGAATGACGATGATGGAGGAATGGAGGAAGGAGGAATGAGGAGAGAGGAGGGATAGTGGTGGAGGAGGGTGGAGGGAGGGGGGGATGAGGGCGGTGAGATGAGGATGATGAGGGGGCGGATGAGGAGGATGATGAGGAGGAGGAGGAGATCAAAGGGTGAGGAGGGATGAGGAGGAGGAGGAGGAGGGGGAGGATGATGATGATGACGATGATGATAATGATGATGCTAGTGCTGCGGATGATGATGGTGATCATGTGGGTGTCTGGTGATGATAATGATGGCGATGACGGTGATGCTGACGATTGTCATGGTGGTGATGCTGAAGAGGAGGAGGGAGGGGAGGAGGAGGAGTATAAGGAGGAGGGAGGACGAGAGGAAGAGGATGAGACGGATGAGGAGGAAGTAGGGGTGAGGCGTTCCAGTGTTCAGTGTGTTCAGTGAGCAGGAGGCAGTAGGCCAGGCAGCCAGGCAGGAGGAAGGACGGAGGACGGAGGAGCGGAGGAGGGGGGAGGAGGACGTGGACGGAGGACGGAGGACTGAGGAGACGGGAAAGGGGCCCGCCACCCTGGCCGCCGCTGGCCGCCCGCGCTGGCAGGATCTTGGCTTCGCCGCGGCAGCGATGGCGACGACGATGCCTACATTCCGACGGGGCTTCCCCATCCTCCTCCTCTCTCCTCCTCAGGCTTCTCCTCCTCTTCCTCCTCCTCCCCCCTCATCCCTCGTCATCAGGCTCCTCCTCCTCCGCCCTCCTCCTCCTCAGTCCCTCCTCCTCCTCCAACCGCATCCGCCCCCTCCGACGGCGCTCGCCCCCCCCCCCCCCCCCCCCCCCCCCCCTGGCGGCTCCAAAAGGGGGGGAGGGGGGGGGGGCGTGTATTCCGACATCCAGAGTAAGTTGATGGCGATGGCGATGGCGACGTCGGCACCGATGGCAGCATCGCCCCTCCTCAACCGCCGCTGCGTTAGGTGGCTAGGGGTGCCGATGCCGCACGTCTTATTTTGATCCTCATGGTCCTCCTCTTCTCTGCGTTCTCCATTCCTCCCCACCCCGACCGCCTGCTCTTCCTCCCATGAGTTCACCCCCCCCCCCCGTCCTACCCGAGGCCGTCCCCCGCCTCTGCCTAAGTCTAAGTCCTTCTCGGAGTCTCACCGAACCTTGTCAACCGAGGTTTAGAATCTCATTGAAACGCGAACGTAGGGTCAGACACCCTATTCGTGCGCGCGTTCATATTTGACCATGGTCTTGAACAAGGTTTCTCCACGATGATCGCAGCGAGGGGCAATGGGCGAGGTCGGAAGGCCCGCGGGGTCACTGTCACAAGCCCCCCTCCCCCCCGCGAAGGTCACTGTCACGGGCCCCCCCCGCCCCCCCCGCTCGTCGCGGTCACGCGCGCCGCCCGTCGCTGTCGCAACCCCTCGGGGGTGATTTGTAGAAACCAAGGAGCGGAACAGCCAGTCCTGCGACGGACGACCAACGACGACGACGACGACGACGACCAACGACGACGACGACGACGACGACAACGACGACGGACGACGGACGACAGACGACGGACGACGGACGTCGACGACAATGACAACGATGACGACGGCGAGAAACGGGAATAACAATTTCCTGTCACAAGGATGGCCGCAACATGCGGCTCTGGTCGCCATCCTCGGCGATCGCTGGGGCGCCCTCGGCGCCTGCGGAGGCCGCTCTCGCCTCGGAGGCTGCGCATTCACGCCCTCGCCCGAGGCCAGCCCCTCCCTCTCGCGATTCCTTCGCGCTCGGGGCCAATGACGGGTCCATCCGCTCGGCGGTTGGAGCCGTCATCGGCCGAGTGAGCGCGATTGCATCGCGAATGACCGGGGCCAGCATCGGGCGAGGTCGCGAATCTTGTCATGGCCCGTCGAGGTCTCTCGTCAGCGCGGCGTCCACCTCCTTCAGGATCGCGGGCACCACCGCGCTCTCGTCGAATTCCTTGCTGTCGTGGAGCTCGTCCTTCAATGCCGTGATCATGTCCGCGCTGATGACGTTGCTGGGAGTTTTGAGGGTCTGCATCGCCTTGGCCTCCCAAAGCGTCGCCTTAGCCCTCGCCTGCACCTTCGTGCTCGTCGCCTGGATCTCCGTGTAGTCCGCCGTCTTGTAGTGAGCCGCCGCCGCCGCCTCGCGCGCCATGCGCAGCGTGCTGATATCGCCCTCGAGCTGTTT